GGGAGTGGGTACCCCCTTCCCTCACTGGGCGGGGGCTCACTTCCTCCTGTTTCCCTGTAGCGGAGCCAGGCCAAATGGGGCTGTATTAAACCAGGGGTCATGAATTCCGACAGCCCAGACTTGCTCTGAGCTCACCAGTGGAGCTTGGGAACCACACGGGATTCGTCATTTCGGGTCCAGTTTTCATGTAGACAAGGCCCACTTTGTGGATGGGAAATTCAACCACGTCCCCAGCAGAATCTGTCACGTGCTGTGTGTCTGGGTCTCCAGCTTTATTCGGAAGGAACCTTGCTCCCCAACACCGACACTCACACCGGACAGACACGGCTCCCCCCGGGCGACCCGCCCGCTGGGACGCAGGGAGATGTTGGGTTTGCGGTAGCTGGGCTCTGCAGGCAGGAGAAGACAGACCGTGAGACACAGACCCTGGCATGGTCACTGCATCCCCACCCCACAGCCTGGACCCAGTGACGAGGTCGATACAGGAGAGAGTCTCCTGGATGCTTTTCCCCTGAATCCAAGACCGAGAGAGCTGGGCTAGCGACACAAGAGACACGGGCCGCGGTGTGGATCCATCTGAAGGAGCCCATGGAGGGGTGGCTGGGGCAGGGGAAGAAGAGGCCAAGGCTACCTAGAGGCCAATTGTGTTTTATCTCAGTCAGCTGGGGAAGGAGAATCAGTTCAGTGGGGAATGATCACAAGTGAATCAGAGTTCCCTGGTTTAGGAGGAAATGCTGCATTAAGTCACACTGGGAACTCTTGCTGACCTTGACTGAACAGTAACTACCATTGCCTGAATTAAACCAACTTTATGGGCAAAAATTTACATTCATGGAACACCAGGATCTGGCGTTAGAACGTCCAAGGCACTAGGCCAGAACCCCACCGCTCTACGGTCCCTTCGCGGATTCTCTGTTTTCAGCCTTGGCATGTCCCAAGTTCGGAGGACAATGTTTTACGATGTTCCATTATATCTTGATTGAACCATCTTCTTGTGATGTCATTGTTTGCTGTTCTGAGTTCCAGCTCAGATAACTACAGCTATTCCTCCATGCCACAGGTTGGCTTCTTAACTGAACACCCATCGTTCCGCTGCTTTCTGGCATCGCACAGTCCCTTCCCTCTCTGGCAATTTCTCTCTTCCTGTTGCTGCACCTGAAGATGCTGGTGTTTTACTTTCGCTACAGCCACTTCCTCTTTATTTCTTCAGCCCTTTCTCTTTGCTCACAGCTGATTTCCATGACGTTTCATTTGTGCTTTACTTCTCTCGCAGTTTTGTAACAATTTCTTAGGTAACTTGGAGACTCTTTCATTGTTTTTCCTCTTGTTTCACTGCCAGGTTCTTCCTGTAACTTTCCCCCTCATGCCTCTGTCTTTCCTCTGTCTGCCTCCTCCTGTTCCTGCCATCTCTGTCCCTTCTCAACCAAACTTTCTCCCTGCCAGCTCCGTGCCGGGCGCCTTTCGAAGACACAGCTCAGCAACCAGGTTCCCTTTCCACTGGCTCCCCGCTCGCTGGGTCCCTTCATTTCTGATGCCGGTTATTACCTCATGTCATGGACTCGCAGGTCGTGCCCACTCTTGGCCCCATGGGGAGTGGTTCCTCTCACTCTCGGGGGTTTAGCCCCTTAACCTCCTGGAACTGCACCTCTCTGAGCCTTAGCACGCCTGTCTCTCACCATGGGACCCTCAGGGAGTCCACTCAGTCTGGACCCCCGGGACCTCCACTCCCAGAGGGAATAATGCAACCCTGTTCTCTAGCCCAGAGTGACTCTCAGCCAGCGTAAAACAGGAGGGGTTATTGAGCGTTGGAACCCAGCATAGGAAACTCTCAGGGCCTGAGGCCTGGCCTCCCTCAGCATAGCACATCCCAGTCTCCCCTACATCCAGGTGGGCTCTGCCTGCTCTCTCCCCCAAGTCCAGAGACCCTGATATCACCGGCCCCAACAGCTCCTCCCCTGTCCTTTATCTTCGTCCCAGGTAAACAGGTTTCTGGGGCCCCTCCCTTCCGTCCTTTGTTCCCCTCTGGCTGGAATTGGCTGTTCAGGTCACTGGGGTCCACTCTCCACAGCCCTTTGTCCTCCCACTGGCCAGAACCAGCTGACTGCCAAGCTGGGCTGGGCCTGTTAATTTCCAGGTCACCAGTTGTTAGGGTTCCCCATCTCCAGGCTGTTTCCTGGGGGTCCTGGTTGCTAGGCGAGGTCACACCTGGTCCTTTGCACCAACAAGCCTCTCCCACCACCTTGTTAAACATGCAGCACACAGGGGAACTGAGGTGTATACACACTATTCATGTAAAACACTACAAAAATCCCCCACTTCGTCACACCTCGCTGGCTGCTGGTGTCTCTCTCCCAGCACTTGGCAGCCTCCCTCCAAACTCTACCTACCAGCGGTTTCTGCAGGAAGCTCTCCGGGGTGTGGAGGGAGCTGCTCCCCACTATCCCCTGCTGTTTTCTTTCTCCTCCGCCCAGAAAACCCCCCCATACTACCCCGGGCTCGAGCTCCCCGCACTTCCACTGCCTGGGAATCCGTGGGGGTCTCCCCACAGCAGCTGTTTCCAGACTCCTGCTGAGCAGCCAAGAAGCGGAGCTCCCACGGCTCTTTAACCCAACAGCCCCCAGCCCAGGTGGGCATCACACAGCCAGCCCTGGAATGCAGTCACAGGCTGGGGGCGGGGCCAGCTGGGCAGCCCCTGGGCCCCGACTCCTCTGTACATCACCAGACCTGGGGCAGCTGGGGAGCATCCCCCGTGGAAAGGCCCCAGCTTTGCAGCTCCCCCTGGGGGCAGGGATCCCCCCTCCCTCGGCCCCAAATCTCCAGCAGCTGCTGCTCCCCCAGGCTGAGAACTCCATCGCCAGTCACAGGCTGGGCGTCCCCTCTGCTGAGTCCCAGGGCTCAGGGCAGAGCCTGGCGCTGAGCGTATCATCAGTGCAGAGACTGACTGGGGGTGGGGCTGGGAGCAGGGACACCGAGCCAAGCCCCTCACCTGCTACCAGCAGCTCCACGGAGTCGCTGGGATGTGACCAGACGGGCGGGTCCAATCGGATGCTGTATTGGCAGCAGTAGCTTCCTCAGTTTCTCTGGCTCACATTGCAGATGGGAAACTCAGCAACATCCCCAGCGGGGTCCGTGTCCTAGAGCACATTCGGGTTTCCATCTTTGTACAGAAGGAACCTCATGTTCTGGTGCCGACTCCGACACCGGATGGTCACAGCTCCCCCTAGGGTCACCCACCTGCTGGGACGCAGGGAGATGGAGGCTTTGGGGTAGCTGAGCTCTGCAGTGAGAAGGAGACAGGCCGTGAGACAGACCCCAGCACAGTCACTGCATCCCGTCTTCACCGCACGGTCCCAGAGACAGGGTCCCTGGGAGAAAACCCAGCCAGAGGAACCTCTCCGTGATCCCAGAGATTCCTGGGAGCTACGACTGAAACTGCCCAAGGACCTAAATCCAGAGCACCCCTCTGTACCCGTCTATCTACTTAATGGGTCCCCCAGCCCAGTGTCCCCCCTCACCATCCCTGCCCCATGGGATCAGACCCATGGTCCCATCCAGCCAGTATCGTCCCCCCACCCCCCGGATCAGACCCACAGGCCCTCACAGCCGCTGCCTCGTACCCAGCAGCCGCTAGTTGCTGCTGTATCTCTGGCAGGTGCTGGAAACCCACCGCTCTCAGGCTGGGGGCAACAGACAGGGCCAGATTGTGTCTGGTACAACAATGCCCAGCTCCTCCCCAGCGCTTAGCACCCGCAGATCTCACAGCGCTTCACAGAGGGGGGCAGGGCATCAGCCCCATTTTACTGGGGGGAAACTGAGGCAAAGAGGGGGCAGGGACTCAGCCAAGGTCCCCCAGGAAATGACAGCCGTACCAGGAATGGCAGCCAGCTCTCCTGAGTCCAAGCCCCAGCGCTCTCCCCACTAGGCCACACGGCCACCCGGACAGTGTCAGCCTGGCTCAGGGTCTTAGAGCATTGGCCGGCTAGTGGCTACAGCAAAGGACTGAGATCTGGGGTAATATCTCCAGCTCCGGGAGGAGAGTGGGGTCCTGTGGGTTAGAATGAAGGGGGCTGGGAGCCAGGACTAGGGGAGTGGGGTCTAGTAGGTTACAGCAGGGAATGCTGGACACCAGGACTCCTGGGTTCTCTCCCTGGCTCCGGGAGGAAAGTGGGGCCTAGTGATTAGAGCAGGGGGTGGGGGTTGGGATCAGAGTTGCTGAGTGCTGCACAAACATGCAGTGAGAAACAGCCCCCGCCCGAAAGCAGAGCCCTGAGTATACATAGACCCTGCAGGCACCTCACTGCATCTACAGGAAACCTGTGGGCTAGGTTCTGATCTCAGCCCCCTGGGGTCAATCCGGAGTCAGCCCTGACTGCAGTGGGGGCAGGGCTGGGTTCTGATCTCAGCCCTCCGGGGTCAATGCAAGGAGGTTGAACTGAGTTTTGGAATGAAGGTTCAGGGCTCAGCTCCTCTTTTCCTCTCCCTCGTCTCCTCTCCAACCCCTGTCCTTTACTCACATCCCAACACCCCGCTCCACCCGGCCAGCCAGAAGTTTGGAAAGGAGGCGGGATGTTATGGACCAGATCCCAGAATGACTGGGTCCTACACCCTGGTATCAGATCAGCCAGACCCCCCGCTCCCCCCCCCATGGGCACACAATCTGGTCTCAGATCCCCCGTTACGGGCACACACCCTGGCTGTCTCCGATACTCACCAAGGAGGAGGACGGTGAGAGCAGATGCCATGACGGGGCAGTGGGGGCCCCTCACCGCTGCCACCAACGCCCTAGAACCCAGCTCCACCTGCCTGAGGCCTGAGTGCGAGGGGAATGAGGAACGGCAGGACTCAGCAGGCTGGGTCAAACAGCACTTCCAAGCTGCCACCCTTATGTCCCAGGTTCAGCACGTCCCTATCCCCACTTTCCCGGTACAGTTGTTCTGGTAGTAACCCACGTGATGAGCAAACCCCACAGGAGTTTTGGGCGCTGCCGGGATCTTTAGCTTAGGTATGAGGAGTGTCGCTGCAGAGCTAATGGGGAAGCCAAAAAACACCCTCGACGGGGAGAGAGAGAGAAGGAACCAGCTTAACCATGAAAGTTATTTATTGCCAGATAATAACCTGTCATGGACTCACAGATCGTGCCCACTCCTGGCCCCGTGCGGTCCGTGGGGGGTGCCCCTTTCAGTGAGACAGCCCTTCTCGGGGGTCCACTCTCTCTCTGGGGTTAGGCCCCTCCACCTCCTGGAGCCGCACCTCTCTGAGCCTTAGCACGCCTGTCTCTGCCGTGGGCCCCCTCAGGGAGTTCACTTGCTCTGGATCTCCGGGGCCTCCACTCCCAGACGGAATAATGCAACCCTGTTCTCTAGCCCGGAGAGACTCTCAGCCAGTATAAAACAGGAGGGTTTATTGAGCGTTGAACACAGCACAGGAAACTTTCAGGGCCTCAGGCCTGGCCTCCCTCAGCCCAGCACAGCCCAGTATCCCCTGCATCCAGGTGGGCTCTGCCGGCTCCCCCTCTCCAGCCCAGAGCCCCCCTGCTTCCCAGCTGGGCATCTGATATCCCTGGCCCCAAGCCCCACCTCTGTCCATGTCTTCTCTCCAATTAAACAGGGTCATAAACAGAGTCATCTGGGCCTCCTCTCCTCTCCGCCCTCCTCTGGCTGGTTAGGTCGCTGGGGTCCTCTCGTCGCAGCCCATTGTCCTCCCACTGGCCAGAACTGGCCAGTCAGGGGAGCATCCCCCTGGGAGAGCCCCTTGCTCTGCAGCTGCCCCTGGGGGCTGGGATCCCCCTTCCCTCTGCCCCAAATATCCAGCAGCTGGGAACCCCCCCAGTGACCTCGTCCCTGTTCCCCGGCCAGGTGTCCTCTGTGCTGGGGCCAGAGCTCAGGATAGAGCCTGGCTCTGAGCATCCCATCGGGTCTGGCTGGGAGAGGGGACATCATGCGATGCTCAGTGCTGGGGATGGTGAATTCATCCCCATCAGCATCCAGCTCCCGGATTTGGATTCCACGTTTATACAGCAATAACCTCCTGGCCTCGCACCAACTGTGGATGGTGATGGCTCGCCCGGGGCGATCACCCCGCTGGGGCTGAGGGTGATGGAGGGTCTGGGATCAGGGAGCTCTGCGTTCACACACAAACAGGAGTGAGATGGGAGACAGAAACCCCTCCCCATGTGTCTGTAACCTGCCCTTAGCGCCTAGCCCCAGGGACAGCGCCGGGGGTAACAGACACCTCACTGCATCCACAGGGAACCTGTGGGCTGGATTCTGATCTCAGCCCCCTGGGGTCAACATTAAGAGGTTAAAATGAGTTCTGGGGGAAGTTTCAGGTTACAGCTCCTCTTTTCCCCTCCCCCTTCATCCTTAATACTAAAGTTTACCCAGCTCCACAGACACTCACGTGTAAACACTCCGCTGTGCCCGGCCTGCCCCTTGCTCCCCCTCCAGCCGGCCAGAGGTGCCCAGCTCAGCTGGAGTTTTGGCAGGAAATCGAATCCCACACACACCCCGTCCACCAACCCCGACTTTGTGAGAGGGGAGACCCGCACCCCAGCACCCATCCTGTGTCTCCTCACCCCATGCCCCTCTGTTCCCTGCCCCTCCCATTTCCCCTCCAACCCCCACCCCTCCCATTTCCCCTCCAACTCCCACCCCTCCCATCTCCCTTCCAGCTTCCACCCCTCCAGCCCCCACACTGTCCTATCTCCTCTCAAACCTCTTCCCCCCACCCTCATCCCATGTACCCTCCGACCCAGTCTCAGACTCCCAGGCCCCGGGCTCTCTTGGCTCCATATAGCCCCTGGAAGACCCCCCCTTCAGAGTAACAGCTCCCCCTGAGGGTCACACTCACTCTCCAGGGTTAGGCCTTCTGGCCCAACCACCTCCTGGGGCCGCACCCCTGAGCCTCCAGCCCACCTTGCTCCCTCCGGAAGCCCCCTAAGGGGTCCCCTCACAATGGCCCCCTGGGGCCACCACCCCCAGAGGGAGTGACGCCCCCGATCTCCAGCCTGCAGGGTCTCTCAGCCAGCGTAAAACAGGAGGGTTTATTGTACGGCTGAGTGGTGTGGGACAGAGACAGGATGGGGGCTGGGAGGGGTTGTGGTTTCCGGCCTCTCTGAGGTGGGGACATAGAGGTTGTGACGAAGTGGGGGTAAATTTAGATCCTGAGTGGTTAAAGGAGCAGCCGATAATACCGCGAAAGGGGAAGTCTGCCCAGAGCTGGTGCTCGCTTCCTGTTTCTGCTACTGCCAGTGAAACTCTGTGTGAACCTGATGCCCCAGCACCTACCTTGTTATATACCCCTGCTCTGAGAGGGGAATGGGACAGGGGGGTGCCGGGGGGGGCAGTTTGTGGTTCTGTGTTTATTACAAATCTGGAGATTAACAGGATGCAAAATAACAAACAGCTGCCTCGGCGTGTCCCCTCCCCCTCCCAGTGCTGAGCCCCCCACCCCCAATCTCCCACATGTGGTTCTGGGTGAGCAGAGGGACAGCAGCTCGATGAGATGGGGCTGCAGTGGGGGGAGGGCATCCTGGGGCATCTCCCCTAAATCTTCCCTGGAAGCAGAGTTCTCAGGGCTGGCACTGCAGGGGGGTGAATCTGTCACCCCCTGGGGGTCGGCACCCCATGGCTGTGGGGGGCTCTCACTGCAGGGCCCCCCGCCTCACATTGATCACGGCGTACATGCTGGACTCTGCAGGCTCAGGGGCAGGGGCCGGGCCCCCCTGCTTGCCCTGCAGCGCCTGGCCGTCCAGCTCAGCGTAGATGAGTCCATCAGCACCAGGGTCGGGCTCCTGGGGCTGGGAGGGGAGAGAGTCGTGTGTGTGTGTGTGTGTGTGTGTGTGTGTGTGTGTGTGTGTGT